GCTGGCTGTACTATTTTTGTCGGTGAGATCAGTATGTTACATGAACATTATTCCTTAGTCTCTGTGACATATTAGGAGGATTTTATGACTATTTGCTTTAGATTTCTTACATATAGCTCCTTTAATGTACTGACACTCCTCAGACAGACAGACACACACACACACACACACACACACACACATACCGGACAGCCTCTCAGTCCTTAGCCGCTAACGTTAGCTCATGTACAACACAGGTACCACACAGAAACTTTTACAAAGGGTCATAATGTGCTTCTAGTGACTGTCAAATCGCCAGCGAAAGATGTTTTAAATGCGGACACGGAGAGAAGAGCGATAGATAAGAACAGCCTGCTGCCTGCTCTCATGGGACAAAGATCCTCAGAGAAGAAAGACGGATCACTCTGCTCTGCCGCCAGGAACAAACTGGGAGGCAAAGATCCTCTCTGAGGAAGACGGTTCACTTTGCTGCAGGGTTCACCAAAATGTTTTTTTGTTTTTTTCTTTTAATAAATTGAACACACATTAAAGAACATACAAGATCCTGTACAGAATTAATACATATAATACAATACAATAAACACTGTTAAATTAAATGAAGGAAGAGGATTTTTGTAAAGGCAAATTAAATATTGGGGATTTATGTAAAATGTACGTAGACATATAAACAATTATATAATTTAAGATATGTAGGCTATGTTAGGTGAATACTCCTGTTAAATGCATGATGTTGAAATGTTTAATTTTGATCTTCCTTAGTCCATTTAGACTTTATTTTATCATAACAATAACAATGAATATTATGAATTGTTCACATTTTAATTTAATTTTAATAACATTTATCACCCAGCATTTTGTGGAAAAGTCAAATGTCCAGTTTACAGTTTTAATAAACTCAGTACAGTTTTTCAACACATATATTGTTTTGTCTTCATTCAGTGTAGTTGCACATATTGTTATTGCGCCATTGGTTTTGGCCTTGGTGCCGCAATAAATTTGTATTTATCAAAGGCCAAAGTGGCCTTGCCCTAAAAATGACTTAATTCCAGGCCTGGAATACCTACCTCAGAAAAATGTTGTTCAACATTGATATTATTGTTAAAATTGTTCAAAAGCTGTAAGAGAAGAGAAGAGACTAAGTTTATTGTTTTTATTGTTTTTATGGTCAGTGTCAGGCTGTCAGCTGTTGCATTTAAGCTAAAAACAGGAGTGTTCCCTCTCTGCTGACCAGAGTTTATGTGCCTTGTGTCTCTTGTATCAGGCACAATCATAGGCTTTGTTATTTAATGATATTTTT